ATTAATTTCCAAGCGCGTTTCTCAGTTGATCAGAGTAACTGAGGCATACGCAATTCTGCTTCCTTCCTTAGAGCAGTTAAACCTTTAAAGCACTGCGGTAATCACATGTCCCATTATAATAAAGAAAACTGGTATTTTTACAACACGGTGTATTTATGTGTTTCGTATGATTCTCACAATAAACAGCGATTATTTCCATATAGATCATATTGTCTTTATACTGGAGATGTAGTGTTTCCTGTGAGGTACGAACTAAATTGTTATATACAGTTTACATGAATATCGTGTTTCAGTTCTTAGAAGTTTTTCCTCGGCTCCACATCAAATGCTTTGTTGGTACCAAATTCCACGTTACACCGCTTGCTTCACATGCAGTCCTCCCATTTTAAATAAAAATTTTACTATAATGCAGCCCATCTAAATTTCATATCAAGATTAATTCAAAGCCAAATCCAACCTGTACAAAGACGAGAAGACACTGCCTGGGAACCTTCANCAGGTCGTATGTCGGCCATATATTTATTAACAGTATTTTTTAACCTTTCTAATCTTTTTATCTTTATAATTTATTTTTAAAAACTTTTACATTTTAATCATCTTTTATTTTTCATTCTTTTGTGGTCGTAACTCGACGACCAAGTGTACTGACAATTGCAGCGTGACTGCAGATAGTTCACGCTCTCTCTCAGCCTTCAGTGAGCTAAAAGCTTGGTGGACACAATGTAACCTGCGCATGTCATATACGTGTCATGGGTTGCAACTGTCGACATTTAAGCGAGTATTTCGATATTGTTAGCAATTGTTGCGCTTCCTGACAGCTTATTAAGGCATATACTCTATCGAACTATAACAGAAACACTTCAGATTTGTTTATAAACAAGGCAACTTACAAGGTTCGTTAATGTGCAACTCTGTACTTTTAAAAATATTTATCTTTTATTTTAATAAAACTCGGCAATTGAAAACGAGGCTGTATTTAATAACAATATTCAAAATTATCTGTGAAATAACTGGCACTGTTCTCTGTGATTATACAGTGTAACATACGTTTTCGAACAGATAATGCATGGTCTGCTTTTTATTTTCACTTCTTGTCTCACAAATCTGTTATACTTTTTGTACGTTTTATTTTTGCGAGGAACTTATTTGTGCATACCTCAGATCTGTCGTATATAACCCTAATGTTTCGCACTGCCGCCATAATTGTACTTGTTGACATACAAACGATATATCATTCGTAATATCGACGTATGCGTGTGATCCCACAGCAAATTTCGCATGTCTATAGTTCCACTGCCTCATACGATATCGCCATTAACCCGAAAGCCAAAGAAAATTTTCACATGATCGCCATGTTGTTATTTTAAATTCCAAAAACACTTTACCGTAAAATTTTTAATATATTTCGAAGCCGTATTACATACATCACTTGAAGAGCCATTGTTAAGTGTTAATTAGTGCCAACTCCACCTCGCAAGTTGTTGTTTTTGTTCGAGCACTCACTCATTCACCTCCGTATTTAATGCAACTTAAAACTGTTCACAATATATCTTTAATTTAAAATAACATTAAAATGATATCAACTGATACATGTTTCGGCCTTACTTGGCCATCTTCAGGAAATTGTTCATCTTTGAAAACCGTCGCACTGTACTGGATCGTAGATCACTATATTTCCATGCCATTGCATTGTCGTTGTTCACATTAAAAGGTGTTTATTTTAGAACGAAATTCTCTCTCCGTTCGGCGTTATTTTCCTTTTACGGCGTCCATGTTTGTGCCCCTTTTGTGTGTATGTTCTCAGTAGTTGGGCATATGTCCCTTGTATCATTTTAAGTTGCATTAAAGAGGGAAATGAATGAGTGAGTGAACCATCAGTGCAATAGAATGCTCAAATATAGTAATATTATTGTCGGAGATTAAAAATTACGGCGTTGGGATTACCTCCGATGGCATTATATTCGAATGAAGTTTATTGAAAACAGATTTAACTTATTCTAAAACTGAAAATTGGAGACAAACATAGGCACAGACAGCATGGCGATCTCATAAACGTTTTCTTTAGAGGGAAAAGCAGGCTAAATAAAGAAGGCCGTGATGCAACAATTGCGGCTCTTCGTCATGGATCGAATGAGGATTTATTTGCGTTTCTGAAATATTTCGGTAAATATTCCGGTCCTCAGGGTTAGACCACCTGTCAGACCAATTACATGTTGTCACCGAGCGGGATGGCATAGCGGTAACACTGTAGACTCGCATTCGGGTGGTGCTCGATTCGAATCTCGACCGGCATACTGGATATACTGACTGATATTTTCGTAAATACCGGGGTAGTACCTCGATTTGGTCACGACCACTTCCTGATTCATCAGTAACCCTATCATATAGTCTCAAAGTTGATAGGGTCGCTAAACAACCAACTAAAAATGAGAACTTCAGTTGATATTAAAATCATCAAGAGAAGTTAATTAGCAGCCAGCAAGGTTATTTACATTTATTTACTGGCTTGGTGGCACGTGACTCGCCGTATTATGATATAAATCCTCCCCCTATTTGTTGCTGAGCTCACTCCGGGAGGTCGCCTTGTTACTTGTGCTGATAACCCACCCTTAAGCGATACCTCGGTGTTGAGGTTCTTGCTAGCTTGCTACTGTCTCAGCTACAATAGCTCTTTAGAAGAAAGTTGTAATGCAACACAAAGAGAGATCTTCCTGCAGTGTTCAGGGCACCCCCATGGATACGACAGGCAAACCACGCTCATATAAATTAAATGATATCTTAACATGTCTCACTTTGATCAATAAACAACAATAAAGTTCATAACAACTCATGTCTTCTTAGAGAATATTATCACATGGGTGACTATAACGAAGTGTATAAATTCGCAGTTGTACTGAGCATTATACAGGGTGTCTATAAAAACCCTATAAATTTTGTGGATTAGCACCGTTAGTATCTCTCTGCACCCTGTATACAGAATAATTCATAAGTCCCTCCGGAAACCCCGACAATGTAGAATCACTTGGCTACAACGGTACTGTGCTTCTAAATTATTATCGGGATCTTGAAGGGGCTTGTTAATTATCCTGTATATTTCAGCTGTATTGCGGAGTCTGTGGAGTCATCGTTGTGGACTTTTCGAACACGAAATTTGTGAAGGTGTTGACCGCTAAAATAAGACAGGGGCAGCGGTGCGTTTATTGTTGTAATTTTAAATTAGGAACATTATGAACACTCTGTATTGTTGGAACATGAAATTTGTGATGACAGAGCTGTGTGCGCCTGCGCACGGTACTTAGCAGCCTCTGCTATTATTTATCAGATAATATTTGTGTTCACATGTAGTGCTTATATTCGTTAATCTCTGATTAATGTTTTGGGAACGAAGAGAATGAGGAACGTGATGACGCTTCACTCCCTCAAGCGATGACGTAGCGAATCAGCACAGATGTCATGCATGGAATTTATCAGACGCATTCACATTTCCGTTTTGAGCTTGAACTCTGTAATTTTCATCTATAATTTAAGACTATTTCTGTGAACATTGGCGAATGAAATTTAGAGTTAATACCTTAAAATTCTTCGTAGACACAACTATGATACAGAGTGCCCACGAAGCCCTTAATAAACAAACAATCCCCGTGGCCTATATTCCGCAAGCGAACTTTACCGACCGAGCGACCGCCGCTTGTCGGCGAAGTTAGTGCCAACTTTAGCGGGTTGAGGATGTCGCGTGGTCAGAGTAACAGATCCCCACGTCCGTTAATCTAGGTTTTCTAGACCGGAGCCGCTATTTGCTTGAAATAACTCCTCAATTCTCCTCACGAGACTGAGAGGACCCCGTTCCAAACCCACTATTTCTAAGAAAATCTGGTAGTGCCGGGAATCGAACAGCCTCTCTACACCTACAGCATGCAGTAAAATGTTCCTGTACAGTCACGAAAAGTGCAGTTCTGCACACTGTTGCAGGTCCCTATCAGGCTGTACGGTGACAGCAGGAACCTTAATGGTTTTGCAGCCTCTCTACACCTACACCTATAATCATGAAAGAATTTACGATATGTTTCCTCAGCTGCAACTACATTTCCCGAAAGCGCCTCTACTAAGCATCCGTTACTGATCAGCCAAAATTGTGCGTGGGGAGAAGCATATTCTAGCAAATACTTGAAAACTCGGCGACGCATCTAAGAGTTGGTCGTAACCCCTCAGGAGGTCACGGTCAACATTTTGGAAAACCATGACGTACGGAGATCTGTTACACGATCAAAAATGTTAATTAATATAAGCATTAGTTCCGTTTTAATGATCATCTGTGCCGTTTCACTCCGAATAACAGGTCTGTACAGATCTTTACCACGTAATGACCTTCGAAACTTCTGGAGAAAGTTTAGTAGTAAACAACATATTATCGATACCTATCGAGGCAGTACAGCAGTGCTCTCTGCTGTCGGGTCTTGATAACATTTCCCGGCCGCGCGTTGCATTTTTTTTTTCATTACTAATGACTTTACCTTCCCAGTTAAAATATGGCCGCCAGGACTGGCTACCGGGAGACATAGAATCGGCTGTTCCCGGACGATAACATCCACATTAAAAATATCAGAATATAATCATCACAAAACTTAGGTATGGAGCTCCTAACTACCATGACGTTTCGGAACCTGTCGTCTTCCATAGGTTGGTACCCACATATAATATAGAACTTTTTAACAATTATTAACAACCTCCAATATGGATTATAAAAATATATTTATAGTAACTTATTTTAATTCAAGGACCAATGTGATCCATGTTTTGGGGCCAGGTTCCTGTATATACCACTACTGGCAGATGAACTGAGTCTTATATTGACTAAATGTATCACAATTATCTTCCAATTTTCATTTTACTTGTTTTTGTACACCCATTATTATATCTTAATGAAATTATTCAGTAAGCTGTACTTATGAACGAATAAATGTTCTCTTTCTTTTTTTCAGAAAGTATAACGTTTGAGAATGAAGGGACCTGGCCCCAAATTTCATTTTGGCCGGCCTGTGTATATTCTTGTAGGTTACTGATATGTTTCGTGGTGCGACTTTCCGCTTGCTTCTGAGGAAGACTGGAGTGAAACAATATGGCCATTCCTTGCCAGGGGAGACAAAGCCTGATTAGTTTGCTGCGTCCAGTTGCAAGGCGAGCGATGACAGTTTCATGAGATAGTAATGAAGACATACGAGTTGAAACGAGCAGCTATGCCGCGCCTTTCTCACAGCCAAACACGTTGATCTTCCACACTAAAACCGACCACAGTGAAAGACGCAAGCAATTATATGGAAACGAACTGCCGTTTCGCTTAACAACCTATTTATTCAGTTTCACTGAGGCGGGCGTAAAGGTTGTGACGCCGATATTTCGGAGGTACATACTACCTCTATCTTCAGGGTGGAAGCGAAAGCCTAGTAATAAACTAATAAGAAGCAGACAGAAGTAGATTCACGTATACAATGAAACCTGTTACATGAATGTAAAAGACTATGACTAGTAGCTCATTTTGCTATTTCTTGCGTGGTCTCTTCGAACTCGATGATGGATGTAGTACATTCCTCCGAAACGTCGCCATATTGCAGTTCTGTTGAGATTTATTATTTAAGAACAGTTATTGCTTGCGTTTGTAGAGAACCGAAGCACTCCCCTGAGATGCTCATTTGAAACATTTATGCTCAGTTGATAGAAATATTCATGACAAGTGACTATGATCCTCTATGAGGTCCGTTTACGCGACCGATGGAGATTCATGTTGTGGTCTCCTGTGTTACTGTTTTTATCTGTAATGTAACCCGCTGCAAACAACTCCAATTTATCATGGAATGACTGACTGGCAGTGAATAATGAACTGGAAGTTATGTGGAAAGAACCGGGGGCAACGGAGGAGAAAACTTCAGCCAGGATATCCGGTGTTCCGGTCAAGATTCGAATTGATCACCTTCTGAATACAAGTCAACAGAAGTTATCTCTTGAACTAACTTGCTCGATTACACATATTTATTTATTTATGGCTTATTTATCGACGCTGTGAGTAATTCAGACTCTACAGCGTCGAATGTTAGCGTGATTAAAGAATGGTTAATTTTGGAGGATGTGAAAGGAAGTGGCCGTGACGTATTTTCAGGTCTGGGTATTCGTCTGGAGGGACTGACAAAATTTACGAAAGAAAATCTCTCAGGATAGTCTGTGTCCTGGCCGAAATTCGAAACAAGAACCTTACCGGTTGAGCCAGCGTGCTCGTTACTGTAACCCAGAAGACCACAATGTTGATATTAAAAGCCACGGAAATCTCAGCCTAGTTTCGTTTAGAAAGTTGAGCGAACTTTTGAGAGTTAAGCTTAGGGCTTAAGGTCCGGTTATGTTAACAGTGCTTTCACTGTACTCTCTTGGCAAGGAATGGCCACGTTATGAGCGATATTTTCGGGCGAGGCAATGTTTACGTTCACTCCATGGCCCGGCCATTGCTTCAGCAACATTTATTCTTCAGGCCAACCCATGTCTTCGCCCACAAGATCATAGAACCTTTGGTTATGTTCGCCGAAGAATCGTCGTAGTTTTGTTACAACCATCGGGTCCACTCTGGGATGTCTTCTTCCCTTGCTTTCCCTCAGACATTTATCAGCAGTCTCGTTTCTCAAGCAGAAGAAACCTTTTGTGTGGTTGAAATAGAAGTTATGTCGTCCTATGCGTGGTTCCAGTCCCAGAAAGTTCTCGATGCGATGTAGCTGTGGGACAGGGTCCTCGATCAGGAGATCACCGTTCACAATCAAGATCTGTGGTCGCTGGAACACTTCTAGCCACCGGAGAAGGAAAGTGTGGTACAGTGAGATTGCCAGAGGCCTATAGGCCAAGTTAACAGAGCCGTCAGTTCGGAGAGCAAGTTGCTCGAAGCTGCGCTGTGCGTTTTGTTGCGACGAACTACTTGTCGTGGAGGATGAAGCCGTGGCGGCGTGACTCCTCAACTGTGTGTAGTCAGAGATGGCGCGCGTTACAGGCTCTCTCACGATTAGCAGAAGCTTCACGCTCGCATTCATGGCTCGGATCCGCTCCGGCACCTGTCAACATCGTACGGTGAAGTTATGCTTTCGGTGAGACAGGAAACTGGAAAACCATTGACAATAAACTAACTTTATTCTTTCCGTGACATGGGAAACTGGAAAACCATTGACAAGAAACTTACTTTATGCTTTTGGTGAGACGGGAAACTGGAAAATCATTGACAAGGAACTTAATTTATGCTTTTGGTGAGACGGGAAACTGGAAAACCATTGACAAGAAATTTAATTTATGCTTTGGCTTAGAAGGAAAACTGAAAAATCATTGCAAGAAACTTACTTGATGCTTTTAGTGAGACGGGAAACTGAAAACCATGGACAAGAAACTTACTTTATGCTTTTAGTGAGATGGGAAACTGGAAACCATTAGCAGGAAACTTACTTACTTTATGCTTTTGGTGTGAAGGAAAACTGAAAACCATTGACAAGAAACTTACTTTATGCTTTTAGTGAGACGGGAAACTGGAAACCCATTGATAGGAAACTTAACATTACGCTTTAGGTGATACGGAAAACTGTGAACCCAAATTTATTACGAAGGAACTGATGGGTGGATAATTTGGCCATCAAATTACCATTGCACACAGTCGTTATTCAGAGACGCATCTAATGATTCGGAGCGAGTGTAAGCTACTTTTGTAATTGCTAGTTTTACAGGACTACAAAACTGGTGACGTTTACATTAAATGGCACTTGTGCAATAAATACAGACTTTGTTCGTCATGAAACAGTTTTTGCTATAGCGATCAACTGTTTTGCACGAATGACAACAGAAAACCAGCGAGAATATCGTCTGACATAAGCGACGTAACATTAATTAGAGACACATTGGTTTGTTCAGGAGATAAATGTGTGTACATCTGCCATTATACGTGTAAAACAAATTCCGAATATGTAGTTTTTAACATTTATTAACCGGAATTTTGACGTGCTAGTCCTGTCACTGTCCCAGTTGGGACAACTGCGGTTGCGGACAAGCCGGTAATATTGTGGAATACCTCGGGTGTGACGAAGTAACTGGGGCTCTTCTCAATGGTGATTTGTCCCCTGAAAGAGTGCGGCATTTTTCGGCGGTACCACTCCAGTCCACGCTGATAGTTGTCGTCTCTGTCAAAGAAGTGTACCTCTCCGGCGGCCTTCTGCACCCGCGGATGTAAGGCCAGCATCTCCAGTAGCGCCCTTGTTCCGCACTTCCTCACGCCTATGATGATTGCCTGCGGGAGTCGACGACTCGTGCGAGGGAAATGAACGCGGTTCGAGAAGATCACCCCACCAGGCCCTCCGCTGATGTCCATTCTACTGGTAAGGACCACCATGTTAGCATTCCCGGAGCCACCTGCAACAGCTGCAGATTCCAGACTGTACACCGCGCTGTCATACAGCACGTGGAACGTTAGGAATAGGGACATCATCATCACCGACAACAGTGCCGCCGCCATTTTAGGTCTGGAGAGTCCCACCAGCAGCACACACTCAGCCGCCGCGTCACCGTCAACTGGGTGCATAGTGACGCGCGGGCCCGCCAACCATCTGAAAGCACAGACACACCGAAAGACGCGTCAGTAACTAAAACAGCGACTGAAATGTGTCAGTAACAAAAGCAGTGACTGACAAGTGTCAGTAACATACACGGCGACACGTGTCACGAACTAAAACATCGACTGAAAAATGTCAGTAACTAAAAGATTGACTGACGAGTCAGGAAGAAACAGATTGAGACACGTGTCAGTAACAAACATCGAGACACGTGTCAGTAACTAAGTTTCGTGAACTACACAGCTACTGACAAACTGTTAATAACTAAAACAATGACTGACAAGTGTCAGTAACTAAGGTTCGTTAACTAAAACACAGCTACTGACAACTGTCAGTAACTAAAACAATGTCTGACAAGGGTCAGTAACTAAGGTTCGTTAACTAAAACACAGCTACTGACAACTGTCAGTAACTAAAACAATGTCTGACAAGGGTCAGTAACTAAGGTTCGTTAACTAAAACACAGCTACTGACAACTGTCAGTAACGAAAACAATGACTGAGAAGTGTCAGTAACAAACACACCGACCGACTAGTGTCAGTAGCTAAAACGCTGCTACTGACACGTGTCACCCAACGAATGCATAAAGAGACGCATGGGTAACAGCACACAGGGACGTCGGTAGAGAACACAAACACACACGCGCCAATAAGGCGCACATAGGGCAGAAGTGAAAATGGAAATAGCGAATTCCTTCGAAATGTTTCCACCACTGTGAACGCTTCGGATTTTCAGACTGACGTTTTTGATTGAATATTGATTACACAATAATAGATACAGTAATCAAATATTTATTTACAAAACGAAAGAAGAGATAGCTGTAAGGAAAATTGGCAAATAAAATGGATAACATGTCCAAACTTTATTCTTCGGCTCATAGCAGACAGGATGTGTGATTTGTTATTGTCATTAAGCGATTTGGGGTTACTATATCAACGAATTATCGAGCGTTAAGACGTTGCATGAACTTAGGTTACGTTGCAGGTCATGAATTGGCGAGAAATCTTTTCTTATGGTGTATCGTGTCTATTCTGTGAGTGCTGATAATAGTCTGATGTGGATATGTGAAATGTAGCATATGGTTTATGACTGAATCTTTGTCCGTTTTATTTTTTCATAAGATAAGACATTAAACGTCGGCCTCAGTGCATCAGTCGATAACATATGACTGGGAAGGAATGCGGTAGAAAGCAGGGGAAGTTAACAGAACGGCCGCGCAGCAGCTCAGGTCGTGTGGGATTTGTGGTGGACAAAGCGACATTTGGGCAGGTTTTGTCCGAGTACTTAAGTTTCCCCTGCTAATTCTCATTGCACCAACTGCTCCACTGGTAACAATGGGCCAAATAGTGGCGAAACGTACCAAGTGGACTCAGGCCAAAGTCACCTTCACTTCAGGCTAAAAGTACGATAGTTCATAGAACAGATGGCGACACTTGCTGTTGAATTCTTAACGGTGTCGTAACAGGTTACATAAACATTCTTCTATTCTGTATACTGCAGGGTGATCAAGTAAAATTGTCTTAAGCGGCTTCAACGAAGGTTCGAAGCCAGATTTTCTGGTTGCCCCACCACTCTGGAAGATGCCGTGGCTATGCCCAGGCTTTTACTAATTAATTACAGTACACAGCTTTCATAATGATGATAATGAATCAGTAATTACGAAACAGTGGAAGACGGTAAATTCTTGAAAAGCTTGCTGCCGTTAAGATCAGGATATTTTGGTTTCACGTATGCTATCACCATAGACTGCATCCCTCGGTAAGCACTGTTGTTGTTATTGTTGTTAAATCAAGGCGGATGAGATCGGTGGGGTATGTAGCACGCGTGGGGGAAAACAGGAAAGCACGCAAATTTTGCTACAAGAACCTAAGGAAATGGGGGCACGCGGTAGCGTAGTTGGTTGAAACACTACGCTACAAGCCGAAACGTCGCGGGTTCGATTCCCGATGAGGTCATTATATATTTTCAATTGACCCAATTCTACCAGCCGCAATATGGCCCTGGGGTCGACTCAACCTCTAACACAAATTAATACCAGGCATTTTCCTGAGCGGTAAAGGGCGGCCGGCGTGTAAGTCTGGCGACCTCACCGCCACCTGCGAGCCGATTTTCTAGAAAACGTGGGAGTCTCGACGTTTCACAATCCTATGAGCCTCCACGGCCTGTTACAGGGATAACTTCACCTCCTTTTACGCTGGGAAAATAGACTGCTTGGAAGACCTAGTGTAGAAGGGAGGATATTAAAATGGATCTTGAAGATACAAGCTGCATGGGATGGGATATATCCAGCTGTTGTGAACACGTGAATGATCCTTCGGATTCTGCAACACATTGTGAACATTAATTCAATTCCTTCTACTCCATTTTGGAGTAGCTTCCACGTAGCATCTCCAACGGACTCTGTTCCCAGCCAGGCTCAGCTTCTCAGGAAAGACTCTGTTCTGTTGAGTTAGTCGGTCAGAAGACGAAATGGGAGAGTCATGAAAACGGTGACACCCTGTGCCCATACAGGACCTCGATCCTGGGTTGTTTTGAAATTCCGTGCTGGGCGCACTTCAGGACAATGAACTTACACTCAAAGCTCTTGTGCCGTCAGTAACCCCACTATCGATAAACTGTCGTCAAGGCACCAACACAAGTCGCCTTTTGAGAAACCCACAAACAAACTTATGTCCCTTCGTGACGCGTGTCGTTTCTGGCAGCCAAAGGAAGACCAAGCTGTCATATAGAAATTTATAGTAAAGAGCCAAGGGTAGATTAGCTAAAACGGAATAAGGAGCAATGGTAGATTATTTCTTTGATTAACCATTTAAAGGACTCTTTATTATGTGTACCACCCGCGTTAACATAACAAAAACTCTGCATTCTGCCCACGCAGTGTATTTATGTGTTCCGTATGGTTCTCAGAGTAAACAGCGATCATTTCTCTAAACAGCATTAACCGGTTGGGCTTTGTAGCGGAGACGTAATGGGTTTCCTGTGAGGTACCGACTGAACCCTGCATTCTGTCCACACAGTGTATTTGTGTGTTCCGTATGGTTCTCACAATAAACAGGGATCATTTCCTTAAATAGCATTAACCGGTTGGGCTTTGTAGTGGAGACGTAATGTGTTTCCTGTGAGGTACGGACTGAATTTTGGGGAAAAAAACCTGTTTTGAACGATTTCAGGCATCACTAACTCAGTCAATATTTCCGTTGTGTTCGTCAGTCCTAGAGCAAATGCACGTTGCACTGCACGCTTCACATGCAGCTCTCTCCCCCAATATAACATAAAATTATCGCCCTAGTGTAACCCTTCCAGCGTTATAAAAAGCTAAACATTTCCGTCCAGTGGGACTGCTGAAGATCTTTCTTATTTCAATTCTTCATGCCCTTACATGTTTCGGTCTTTGGAGACCATTATCAGAGAGACATCAATACAGTTGGAAGCTACTATTACAATATATGTTCTGAGCTCTATAATATACATATAATGTTGATAATATTCGATTGGATATAAAAGCTAAAGTTTTTACAACTACAGCGGCTGTATTAATATATTGTAACGTGTTTAGTTACTGAAGACGCCGTTCGGATTGTTAATTGGTTTTTTAACAACCTACAAGTCTCGGCTACAATTAATTATAACACTGTTGCGGGGTTTCACACTTTATAACCCTATTCGCAATAATCTGTTCACTCTATCTTCAGTAGTCTACACGTATTCACAGTTCGGGAGCTATGTAAGTGTCACTGTGTTACACACTCCCAATTACACA